AGATGAGTGAGAGGCGAGGAGATGAGTGAGAGGCGAGGAGATGAGTGAGAGGCGAGGAGATGAGTGAGAGGCGAGGAGATGAGTGAGAGGCGAGGAGATGAGTGAGAGGCGAGGAGATGAGTGAGAGGCGAGGAGATGAGTGAGAGGCGAGGAGATGAGTGAGAGGCGAGGAGATGAGTGAGAGGCGAGGAGATGAGTGAGAGGCGAGGAGATGAGTGAGAGGCGAGGAGATGAGTGAGAGGCGAGGAGATGAGTGAGAGGCGAGGAGATGAGTGAGAGGCGAGGAGATGAGTGAGAGGCGAGGAGATGAGTGAGAGGCGAGGAGATGAGTGAGAGGCGAGGAGATGAGTGAGAGGCGAGGAGATGAGTGAGAGGCGAGGAGATGAGTGAGAGGCGAGGAGATGAGTGAGAGGCGAGGAGATGAGTGAGAGGCGAGGAGATGAGTGAGAGGCGAGGAGATGAGTGAGAGGCGAGGAGATGAGTGAGAGGCGAGGAGATGAGTGAGAGGCGAGGAGATGAGTGAGAGGCGAGGAGATGAGTGAGAGGCGAGGAGATGAGTGAGAGGCGAGGAGATGAGTGAGAGGCGAGGAGATGAGTGAGAGGCGAGGAGATGAGTGAGAGGCGAGGAGATGAGTGAGAGGCGAGGAGATGAGTGAGAGGCGAGGAGATGAGTGAGAGGCGAGGAGATGAGTGAGAGGCGAGGAGATGAGTGAGAGGCGAGGAGATGAGTGAGAGGCGAGGAGATGAGTGAGAGGCGAGGAGATGAGTGAGAGGCGAGGAGATGAGTGAGAGGCGAGGAGATGAGTGAGAGGCGAGGAGATGAGTGAGAGGCGAGGAGATGAGTGAGAGGCGAGGAGATGAGTGAGAGGCGAGGAGATGAGTGAGAGGCGAGGAGATGAGTGAGAGGCGAGGAGATGAGTGAGAGGCGAGGAGATGAGTGAGAGGCGAGGAGATGAGTGAGAGGCGAGGAGATGAGTGAGAGGCGAGGAGATGAGTGAGAGGCGAGGAGATGAGTGAGAGGCGAGGAGATGAGTGAGAGGCGAGGAGATGAGTGAGAGGCGAGGAGATGAGTGAGAGGCGAGGAGATGAGTGAGAGGCGAGGAGATGAGTGAGAGGCGAGGAGATGAGTGAGAGGCGAGGAGATGAGTGAGAGGCGAGGAGATGAGTGAGAGGCGAGGAGATGAGTGAGAGGCGAGGAGATGAGTGAGAGGCGAGGAGATGAGTGAGAGGCGAGGAGATGAGTGAGAGGCGAGGAGATGAGTGAGAGGCGAGGAGATGAGTGAGAGGCGAGGAGATGAGTGAGAGGCGAGGAGATGAGTGAGAGGCGAGGAGATGAGTGAGAGGCGAGGAGATGAGTGAGAGGCGAGGAGATGAGTGAGAGGCGAGGAGATGAGTGAGAGGCGAGGAGATGAGTGAGAGGCGAGGAGATGAGTGAGAGGCGAGGAGATGAGTGAGAGGCGAGGAGATGAGTGAGAGGCGAGGAGATGAGTGAGAGGCGAGGAGATGAGTGAGAGGCGAGGAGATGAGTGAGAGGCGAGGAGATGAGTGAGAGGCGAGGAGATGAGTGAGAGGCGAGGAGATGAGTGAGAGGCGAGGAGATGAGTGAGAGGCGAGGAGATGAGTGAGAGGCGAGGAGATGAGTGAGAGGCGAGGAGATGAGTGAGAGGCGAGGAGATGAGTGAGAGGCGAGGAGATGAGTGAGAGGCGAGGAGATGAGTGAGAGGCGAGGAGATGAGTGAGAGGCGAGGAGATGAGTGAGAGGCGAGGAGATGAGTGAGAGGCGAGGAGATGAGTGAGAGGCGAGGAGATGAGTGAGAGGCGAGGAGATGAGTGAGAGGCGAGGAGATGAGTGAGAGGCGAGGAGATGAGTGAGAGGCGAGGAGATGAGTGAGAGGCGAGGAGATGAGTGAGAGGCGAGGAGATGAGTGAGAGGCGAGGAGATGAGTGAGAGGCGAGGAGATGAGTGAGAGGCGAGGAGATGAGTGAGAGGCGAGGAGATGAGTGAGAGGCGAGGAGATGAGTGAGAGGCGAGGAGATGAGTGAGAGGCGAGGAGATGAGTGAGAGGCGAGGAGATGAGTGAGAGGCGAGGAGATGAGTGAGAGGCGAGGAGATGAGTGAGAGGCGAGGAGATGAGTGAGAGGCGAGGAGATGAGTGAGAGGCGAGGAGATGAGTGAGAGGCGAGGAGATGAGTGAGAGGCGAGGAGATGAGTGAGAGGCGAGGAGATGAGTGAGAGGCGAGGAGATGAGTGAGAGGCGAGGAGATGAGTGAGAGGCGAGGAGATGAGTGAGAGGCGAGGAGATGAGTGAGAGGCGAGGAGATGAGTGAGAGGCGAGGAGATGAGTGAGAGGCGAGGAGATGAGTGAGAGGCGAGGAGATGAGTGAGAGGCGAGGAGATGAGTGAGAGGCGAGGAGATGAGTGAGAGGCGAGGAGATGAGTGAGAGGCGAGGAGATGAGTGAGAGGCGAGGAGATGAGTGAGAGGCGAGGAGATGAGTGAGAGGCGAGGAGATGAGTGAGAGGCGAGGAGATGAGTGAGAGGCGAGGAGATGAGTGAGAGGCGAGGAGATGAGTGAGAGGCGAGGAGATGAGTGAGAGGCGAGGAGATGAGTGAGAGGCGAGGAGATGAGTGAGAGGCGAGGAGATGAGTGAGAGGCGAGGAGATGAGTGAGAGGCGAGGAGATGAGTGAGAGGCGAGGAGATGAGTGAGAGGCGAGGAGATGAGTGAGAGGCGAGGAGATGAGTGAGAGGCGAGGAGATGAGTGAGAGGCGAGGAGATGAGTGAGAGGCGAGGAGATGAGTGAGAGGCGAGGAGATGAGTGAGAGGCGAGGAGATGAGTGAGAGGCGAGGAGATGAGTGAGAGGCGAGGAGATGAGTGAGAGGCGAGGAGATGAGTGAGAGGCGAGGAGATGAGTGAGAGGCGAGGAGATGAGTGAGAGGCGAGGAGATGAGTGAGAGGCGAGGAGATGAGTGAGAGCGAGGAGATGAGTGAGAGGCGAGGAGATGAGTGAGAGGCGAGGAGATGAGTGAGAGGCGAGGAGATGAGTGAGAGGCGAGGAGATGAGTGAGAGGCGAGGAGATGAGTGAGAGGCGAGGAGATGAGTGAGAGGCGAGGAGATGAGTGAGAGGCGAGGAGATGAGTGAGAGGCGAGGAGATGAGTGAGAGGCGAGGAGATGAGTGAGAGGCGAGGAGATGAGTGAGAGGCGAGGAGATGAGTGAGAGGCGAGGAGATGAGTGAGAGGCGAGGAGATGAGTGAGAGGCGAGGAGATGAGTGAGAGGCGAGGAGATGAGTGAGAGGCGAGGAGATGAGTGAGAGGCGAGGAGATGAGTGAGAGGCGAGGAGATGAGTGAGAGGCGAGGAGATGAGTGAGAGGCGAGGAGATGAGTGAGAGGCGAGGAGATGAGTGAGAGGCGAGGAGATGAGTGAGAGGCGAGGAGATGAGTGAGAGGCGAGGAGATGAGTGAGAGGCGAGGAGATGAGTGAGAGGCGAGGAGATGAGTGAGAGGCGAGGAGATGAGTGAGAGGCGAGGAGATGAGTGAGAGGCGAGGAGATGAGTGAGAGGCGAGGAGATGAGTGAGAGGCGAGGAGATGAGTGAGAGGCGAGGAGATGAGTGAGAGGCGAGGAGATGAGTGAGAGGCGAGGAGATGAGTGAGAGGCGAGGAGATGAGTGAGAGGCGAGGAGATGAGTGAGAGGCGAGGAGATGAGTGAGAGGCGAGGAGATGAGTGAGAGGCGAGGAGATGAGTGAGAGGCGAGGAGATGAGTGAGAGGCGAGGAGATGAGTGAGAGGCGAGGAGATGAGTGAGAGGCGAGGAGATGAGTGAGAGGCGAGGAGATGAGTGAGAGGCGAGGAGATGAGTGAGAGGCGAGGAGATGAGAGGCACGGAGGCACGAAAAGGCACGAAAGCATGGTTTCGGACCGACCAAAAGAGCTTCTTGTGGAAGGAGAAAGTGAAAAGATGCATGCGCTGCTGCTGTGTGCGGTCGTAATGGGGTGCGCAGATGCAACGCGTCTCAGCACTCACACCTGCAGGACCTCATCCCGCACAGAGTAGATGAGGAGACGAGGTACATGCGGCGCTCGGCAATGGACTGGGAGAGGTACAAGCACAGTGACATCCCTCAAGCCTTGTGGTCATTCACTCACCTGCAGGAGCTCATCCCGCACGGAGTAGATGAGGAGACGAGGTGCATGCGGCGCTCGGCAATGGACTGGGAGAGGTACAAGCACAGTGACATCCCTCAAGCCTTGTGGTCATTCACTCACCTGCAGGAGCTCATCCCGCACGGAGTAGATGAGGAGACGAGGTGCATGCGGCGCTCGGCAATGGACTGGGAGAGGTACAAGCACAGTGACATCCCTCAAGCCTTGTGGTCATTCACTCACCTGCAGGAGCTCATCCCGCACGGAGTAGATGAGGAGACGAGGTGCATGCGGCGCTCGGCAATGGACTGGGAGAGGTACAAGCACAGTGACATCCCTCAAGCCTTGTGGTCATTCACTCACCTGCAGGAGCTCATCCCGCACGGAGTAGATGAGGAGACGAGGTGCATGCGGCGCTCGGCAATGGACTGGGAGAGGTACAAGCACAGTGACATCCCTCAAGCCTTGTGGTCATTCACTCACCTGCAGGAGCTCATCCCGCACGGAGTAGATGAGGAGACGAGGTGCATGCGGCGCTCGGCAATGGACTGGGAGAGGTACAAGCACAGTGACATCCCTCAAGCCTTGTGGTCATTCACTCACCTGCAGGAGCTCATCCCGCACAGAGTAGATGAGGAGGTACATGCGCTGCTCCGCGATGGAATTGAAGAGGTGCGTGCATGTGCTGTGAGGTAAGTCAACACCACAAGACACACCTGCAGGGGCTTTCTCACCTGTAAACGCTCGTCCCGGACGGAGTAGACGGGCAGGTACATGCGCTGCTCCGCTATCGACTTGACGAGGTGCACGCGCTGTGAGTGAGACGTCTCAAAACTCAGTGGTGACTCTCACCTGCAGCAGCTCGTCGCGCACGGAGTAGATGGGCAGGTACATGCGCTGCTCGGCAATGGACTTGTTCTTGGCAAAGTCACTGGCAGCACCGCCCGTGCCCTTCATGTGGTCGGCAAACTTCACATTGTCCTTGTAATCTACCTCGCCCTCCGCGTCCACCTTGGCCGTATCCGCGTCCACCTGGTGGGATCATAGTGCGTGTTTGGGTTACAATGGAAGGTGGGTTGAGGGTGCAGAGAGGCAGCGCAGCGCCGCCCGTGCCCTTCATGTGGTCGGCGAACTTCACATTGTCCTTATAGTCCACCTCACCTTCCGCGTCCACCTTCGCCGTGTCTGCATCCACCTGGTGTGAGAGCAGCATGAGGGTTTGGATGTTTTGGAAGGTTGAAGGTTCAGGGGCTGAAGGCTCAGTTTGCCAAATCCACATTGTCGTTACGGTCCACCTCACCCTCCGCATCCACCTTGGCTGTATCCGCATCCACCTGGTGGGGAGGGCAGCATGAGGGTTTGGGGCTTTTAAGGGTTGAAGGTTCAGGGGATTAGGGCTGCGATTGTGCACTTCACATTGTCCTTATAGTCCACCTCGCCCTCCGCGTCCACCTTTGCCGTGTCTGCATCCACCTGGCAGAATCAATGTGGGTGTGGGGTTGAACTTGAAAAGAGAAGGTTGAGGGCTTGGGGGCAGCTTCACCGGTGCACTTCATATTGTCCCTATAGTCCACCTCGCCCTCCTCGTCCACGTCTGCATCCTGTGAAGGGCAGCATGAAAGGGTTTGAGTTCGTTTCATAGAAACATTCGTCAAAATGAAGCACCCGGCATGTGGCGTGTGTGTGTGTGTGTGTGCGTGCGTGTGGCATGTTGCAAGTTGCATGTGTCATTTGGTGTCTGGAATGTGGCATGATATGATATGGCATACCGCATGTAGCATGCGACACGTGACGCGTCGCAGGTGGCATGTGCATGCCACACGCGTGCCACGTGCTTGCAGCACCTACATACTTCACGTCACTGATGTCCACCCATCCACTCGCATTCCCACATTCCCATGCATGCTTGAATGCCTATGATACTCACATCAGCTGCAGATTTCTTGGCGCCGAGAATGTTCCCCAGCTTGCTTCCAGCGAGCTCCCAGAACTTCTGCCTGCTCTTGTTCGACTGCTGCTTCTCCCGGATCTGCACGGGCAAAAGAGAGCAGGCAGGACAGGAGCGCAGGAAAATGGAAAGTGAGAAGTTTTGAGTCGACTCAAAAAAACTTCTGCCTGCTCTTGTTCTGCTGCTGCTTCTCCCGGATCTGTGGGCGAACAGGAGGGCGGGCAGGACAGGAACACAGGACATTGGATGGTGAGAAACAGGCACATTTGAAGACAACTCCTTGCACTGAGGGTTACCCAGCAAATTCCACGGACATCCATAGCAGGTGAAACTCCATGGATATCCATTGCAGGTGAAACTCCACGCACATCCATTCAGTTGCACTGAGTTCGGGTAAAAATGGCACAAGTGAACACACCACCCTCAGGCCCCTCTCCGACTTCATCACCCGCGCACCCCTCTGACGATGATGGCCATGTCAGACGTGGGGTCCTTTTGAGTCGACTCAAAAGTCAAGTCGACTCATGAGTCGACTCAAAAGTGAACACACAACCCTCAGGCCCCTCTCCTCTCCGACATCACCACTCGCACACCCCTCTGACGATGATGGCCATGTTGGACGTGGGGTCCTTGAGCGACATCACCGGCTGCTTCCTGGCAATAAATAACCAGCACAGCACACCCCTGACCATCACCCTCACTGCTAATCCTCTACAGTTCCCACCCATGCGCGTACCTCTCTGACGAGCGCTGAGCCCTTGCGAGCAATGTTGGCCATGTCGGAGGTGGGGTCCTTGAGCGGCATCACACCGGCTCCTTACCTTCACCAGCACAGCACAAACCTGACTGACCGTTACCCTCACTGCTGATACCCCACCATTACCACCCACGCACACACCTCTCTGACGAGCGCTGAGCCCTTGCGAGCAATGTTGGCCATGTCGGACGTGGGGTCCTTGAGCGGCATCACAACGGCTCCTTACCTTCACCAGCACAGCACAAATCTGACTGACGGTTAACCTCACTGTTAATACCCCACCTGTCACCACCCATGCACCTCTCTAACGAGAGCTGAGCTGAGCCCTTGCGAGCAATGTTGGCCATGTCGGATGTGGGGTCCTTGAGCGGCATCACCGGCTCGGCTCCTTTCTAGCAGTAAATGACCAGCGCAGCACACCCCTGACCAATACCCTCACTGCTAACACCCAACCAGTACCACGCATGCACGCACCTCTCTGACGAGAACAGAGCCCTTGCGGGCGATGATGGCCATGTCAGAAGTGGGGTCCTTGAGCGGCATCACCGGCTCCTGCTGCTTCGTGAACACTATGCGCCCATCCAAGAAGGGCGGCTTCGTGTCTGCACGAGCACATATAGGGGGGAGGGAGGGAAAAAGGGGCATAGGCGGGCATCATCGGCTCCTGCTGCTTCGTGAACACTATTCGCCCATCCAGGAACGGTGGCTTCGTGTCTGCACGAGCACATATGGGGAAAGGGCGGGGACACTTTATTAGAGCAGGTCACACACAAGTTCTCGCACTCTTCTTAGCCCCTTCAGCCCAGCGCAAGTAGTCATGCTGAAGAACCTATGGGATGAAATGACGAGTAAATAGATGGAAGAAGAGAGGAGAGACTCGCTACGCACAAAGCGGGATGTACAAATCCGCCTCTTATACTCTTACGAGTCGCAGGATACTCGATCGCATCGTGCACGACTAATTTTCTACATTTCTCAATAATCGCTCGCGAGAAAACACGACCTCACCGTGCGTGCACAAGCAGAGCAGCAGCACGCAGTTCTCATCCTCGTCATTGGTACCCGTGGAGTAAAGAGCGCCATGGCATTGCTGCTTTCGAGTGAATTAATAGACACCGTACTAAGCCACTCCAGACACTCACCATGCACGAGCAGCAGCACGCGGTTCTCATCCTCATCATCAATATCCGTGGAGAGCTCCACAGAGCTCCGCACCACTCCCGACCGCATCAACTGCCTGTCCTCCCACGACGCCTGGTCCGCCGACAGCTGGGTGAGGCGTTTGCTGGCCGCCAGCGACATGGTTGACCCGTCTCCCCGCACCATGCGCTGCTGCCGCGCGGCCGCCTCCTTCTTGCGCTCCTCCTTCTTCTCAAAGGCCTGCTCGTCGCCGAATCCTCCAAACGGGTTGCTTCCCTCTCCTGAATCGAACACGCTGCCTGCTTCCTCTGAGTCGTACCTGGGAGATAGAGGAGGGGAGGGGGGACGGGGGAGGGAGGGCGGAAGGAATCGAGGGAAAGAGGGCGGAATGGAGGGAGGGGGAGATGGAGGACAGCTGGGTGAGGCGCTTGCTGGCCGCCAGAGACATGGTTGACCCATCACCCCGCACCATGCGCTGCTGCCGCGCGGCCGCCTCCTTCTTGCGCTCCTCCTTCTTCTCAAAGGCCTGCTCGTCGCCGAACCCTCCAAACGGGTTGGCGCCCTCGCCCGAGTCAAACACACTGCCCGCCTCCTCTAAGTCGTACCTGGGAGCGCGAGGGAACGGGGAAGGGGGGATTTGTGAGTGTTTCAAGTGGGGAAAGAGGCTGGGCAGGGAAAGGGCGTCAAACACACTGCCTGCCTCCTCGAAATCATATCTGGGGGCTTTGGTGAGATGTTTAGGGAGGCGAGGAGGTGTGTATATGTCAAACACACTCACGAGAGCCGATCAGTCTGCCTTTCCCCCTCCTCCATCTGCCTGCGCCAAGCCCTCATCCTCCTCCTCCTCCCCTGTCATGCACGTCTCCATTTCGACCTCGTCCCCCCTCGTCCCCTCTTCTTCCCATTCAACACCCCCACCCCGGACAACACCAGACACTCTACTCACCAGGAGCGGTCGGCCTGCCTCTCTGCCTCCTCTATCTCCCGCCGCAAGCCCTCATCCTCCTCCCGCCTGCTACCATGCACATCCCGTTTCGACGTTGGCCACTCTGATTTCCTTTTGAAACCTTCAACCACAAACCCAAACACCTGACTCACCAGGACCGGTCGGCCTGCCTCTCCGCCTCCTCCATCTCCCGGCGCAAGCCCTCATCCTCCTCCGCCCCTGCCCCCCCTTCCTCCCGCGGCCCCCTCCCAGCACGGTAGTCTGTGTCCCACTCGCTCTCCTGCTGCTGCGATGCCGCCTGGGGTGGGGGAAGGAGTGTATCCAAAGGTTGAGGGGCGAAATGGAGGAGAGGGAGGGTGGGGGGAGAGACACACAACGAGCAGGACTGAAATAAGCAGAGATTCAAGAGGTGCAGTGCAGCAAGCGGAGATACACTATCTACCCTCCCCCTGCCCCCCTCACAATCAATCAGCAGCAGGCCAACGTGTGGAAGCAGCATCAGAAGAAAGAACCAGTAGACACAAGGGAAACAGCGAAAGGACAACAGTCAGTCATTCACCTAGAGTCACCTCACAATCAGCCCCCTCATCCCTCATCCCATTCCATTCCCCTTCACTTCACTATCCCACCTTGTTGCCTCCCACTGTGCTTCAGCAACACCATCTGATCTTGAACATTCGCCTCGAAATTAAACTGATGCTTTCATCCTTTCCCCCCAAATGTCGCACTAGGCCGGCCTCCCCCCACCACCCCCAGCATCTTAGCTCCCTGAATGACCCACCTAGCCTCCGCCCTCCCACAGTGTTTTGATAATGGTCTCCAAAGCACAACCTGAATTGGAAACCCCTCCAAAACTCCCCCTCACGTATTCTTAAATGCCCCACCTGGCCTCCCGCTGTGCTTCGGCGTGTGCTCGCACCGCCCTCCGAAGCTGACAAGTCGGCTCGGAACCGAAGCTTGTGCGACCGCCGAGCCCTGCCCCCCTCTGCTTGTACGCTTCCCTCCCTCTCCTCCCCGTCCCGACCCTGCGAGACAGGCGTGGCCGAGCCTGCCCTTACAGGTACGGGAGATGGGGATGGGAGATCCCACACTGACCCTGGCGGAAGGGGAAGTGGGAAAGTGGAGAAGTGGAGAAGTGGAATACGAAGTTAAGGGTCAGAAAACAAGGTTGGGGGTTGATAGAAGAGGTGCTGGACCACCATGGCTGACATAATACAAAGGACCGTTTGGGTGAGGAACAAGGAAGGAGAGGGAGAAGGAAGGTAAAGGATGGTGGGCGAAGAGGGTGAGAATGAGGGGAGACGAGAGGGCGGTGGAGTGAGGGGTGAGTAGAAGCTTGGGGAAGAGAATTCATGCAACACACATGGAATTCCATGTGTGGAATGAGGAATTCATGTACTCAAGCAGCAAAGGCTCTCAGAAGGAGGTGACGTTTGAGTCGACTCAAAAGTCACCTCGAAAGGCAACACACATGGAATTCATGTGCTCAAGCAGCAAAGGCAAGGTACCACCCAGAAGGAGTTTGCGAAGGGCAGAGAGGGCAGAGTGGGTAAGGGGGGTGGAAAGAGGGCAGATGTGATCGTCCAGATCACAATACAGACGGAGCGACATAAAGAGGGACAGAGGGAGGGAGGGAAATGCAATGAGTGAGACCAATAGTCTCTTTATAAACCAACACCGACCAAAAACCCACACACAAAGACAGACCCTAGCAGTAGCACACTCACCCCCGAGAGAGGGCGTGCTGCCCCCTCCGCCATCCCAAGGCGACAGCAGGCGCGAGTCAGAGGGCGAGGGCGGCACAGCAGAGCTGGAGCGGGAGGCACACACACGCATACGCACAAACATACACGCACATGCACACATATCCACAGATACATGGACCCACACCACACGGACTTACCACCAACAGAGGGCGTGCTACCACCTCCCCCCCCATCCCAGGGCGACAGCAGGCGCGAGTCAGACGGCGAGGGCGGCACAAAGGAGAAGAAGCGAGAGGCACGAACACTCACTCATACAAAGACCCAAGCGCACTCACCCCCAACAGAGGGCGTGCTGCCCCCTCCGCCATCCCAGGGCGACAGCAGGCGCGAGTCAGAGGGCGAGGGCGGCACAAAGGAGAAGAAGCGAGAGGCACGAACACTCACTCATACAAAGACCCAAGCGCACTCACCCCCAACAGAGGGCGTGCTGCCCCCTCCGCCATCCCAGGGCGACAGCAGGCGCGAGTCAGAGGGCGAGGGCGGCACAAAGGAGAAGAAGCGAGAGGCACGAACACTCACTCATACAAAGACCCAAGCGCACTCACCCCCAACAGAGGGCGTGCTGCCCCCTCCGCCATCCCAGGGCGACAGCAGGCGCGAGTCAGAGGGCGAGGGCGGCACAAAGGAGAAGAAGCGAGAGGCACGAACACTCACTCATACAAAGACCCAAGCGCACTCACCCCCAACAGAGGGCGTGCTGCCCCCTCCGCCATCCCAGGGCGACAGCAGGCGCGAGTCAGAGGGCGACGGCGGCACAAAGGAGAAGAAGCGAGAGGCACGAACACTCTCTCATACAAAGACCCAAGCGCACTCACCCCCAACAGAGGGCTGCCCCCTCCGCCATCCCAGGGCGACAGCAGGCGCGAGTCAGAGGGCGACGGCGGCACAAAGGAGAAGAAGCGAGAGGCACGAACACTCACTCATACAAAGACCCAAGCGCACTCACCCCCAACAGAGGGCGTGCTGCCCCCTCCGCCATCCCAGGGCGACAGCAGGCGCGAGTCAGAGGGCGAGGGCGGCACAAAGGAGAAGAAGCGAGAGGCACGAACACTCACTCATACAAAGACCCAAGCGCACTCACCCCCAACAGAGGGCGTGCTGCCCCCTCCGCCATCCCAGGGCGACAGCAGGCGCGAGTCAGAGGGCGACGGCGGCACAAAGGACGGCTCGCGGCGGTACGGCGCGGGGGAGGGGGCGGGGGAGGGGGTCCAGCGGGGGGAGGGCGAGGGCGACGGCATGTCCCACTTAGAGCCCCTGTTGCGTGGCGTGCTGCCCCTCTCTCTGTCTCCGTCTCTGCCTCTGTCCCTGTCTCTGTCTCTGTCCCTGCCCTCCCTGCCAGGTGTGCTGTCATTGTCTCTCCGCGGGGTGCTGTCGTCCCAGCGTGATCTGGAGGAGCCTGATGGGACGAGAGGGAAGAACGGAGAAAAAATGAGTTCTTCAAGCAGCGGGGGGGGGGTTGTTCAATTAGGAGACTATGGCTGCAGTGGACAAAGCAGCATATGACGATCTATCAGTTCGAGACAGTGTTGGGAACTCCTAACCCAAATACAAAGGTTAGGTGGAACGCTGTCCAATACAGAACGTTGCTTCCTTCTCCCCTTTCACCCCAAACCCCCGCACACTCACCGTGGCGATATGAGCCCCTGTCATAGTCCCTGTCCTGGCCACGATTGTTGTCCCGCTCACCTCCCCTTCTCTCTCTGTCTCTCTCACTGTCCCTCTCCCTATCCCCCTCCCTACCCCTGTCTCTCCTGTTGCTGTCTCTCGAGTCCCACCTGCTCCCCCTTCTCCCTTTCCCTCTCTCCCCATCCCCTCTCTTCCCATCCGCGTCTCCTCTGCTCCCCACATCTGTAGCTTAGAATCAACAAGTAGGAAGTGCAGAGAGCAACAGGGGTGGAAAGAAAGAGGAAGAAATAAAGAAAACGGAACAATAAAACTGGAGCACAGCAGAAAACATTAAATCCTTGAAAACTGACTGGCAGGCTTGCGCAGTATTGATGCCTTCCATCTTACTGCGCAAAATTTTCAGGCCCTTCACAAGTCAGGTTCACTTCACAACAAGGTTTTCAGGCTACACCGAATCTAGATCACCAATCTGAGCAACCTCCTTTCCTGACTGACACCCACCCCCTCCATTGGTCACCAAACTAGCAGAAACCGCCTTGTTAGCACCACCATTTGCCACGTCAGCAGGCTCCACTCGCGTTCTTTTAGCGCCTCGGCTTGCCTCGTCAGCCTGCATTGGGAGAAGGATGTGGTGGGGTGGGGAGGGAGGGGGAGACGGAAGGAGGAAGAGAGGGGAATGAGGGAGAGAGTGAAGGAGGAAGAGATGGAGAGGAAGAAAGGCAGTTTAGATCATACTCTGAAGTAACAGAACTTGTATATTCGGTCACAATCTTTCACAAAACCGTGACTTGACGGCCGTGTCTAAACTGGGTGTGTCTGGACTGGACGTGCCTCCGTTGCCCCATCCCCAGAAGCAGTGCCCCCTCGTGTGACTCTGTCCGCATGTAAGGCAGCACCACACACTCACCAGGTGCATGCACCATGCTCAAGAGAGATGCATGCATGATGCATGTGCACCACACCATACGAGACAGACATACGTCGCGTATCCCTGTCTGCATGTGGGCGGCACTATAATCACCATGTGCGCCACAGCATACGGAACAAGCATACCTCGCGTGCACCAGCAGCTGTGTCCGCTTGTGAATCTCTGTCCGCATGTGAGGAGGTGCCACGCGGGGAATCCTGCACCCGGGGGGAGGCGCCTGAGAGGTCTGGTGGGGGGGGAAATATATGGTTGGGTTGGGTGGGCGGAGGGCATGGGTTTAAACAGAGAACTGCTCAGGTGCTATGCGGATGGTAAATCGGGTAAATATTAGAATAGGCCAGGTGGCATGACGATCGGCCAGGTGGCATGGAAATCGGCCAGGTGGCATGGAAATCGGCCAGGTGGCAGGTAGCATGACGGGACACGGTGACTCACCTGTAACCGTTGACACGTGTGTGGGCGTATCAACATTTCGCGCCATACGATACCGCCGCCTCTCCTTGCTCCCCCCTCCACCGCTCTTGTCTCCCACACTCCCTCCTCCCACTCCCTCTCCATCCCCTCTACCCCCTCCCCCATCGTCTCCGTCGGCTACAAACTTCCCGCCTCCCCCTTCCTTCCCCTCGCCCCCCGCCTTCTCCCCTTCATCTTCCCCCTCTTCCGCGAATCTAGCCGCTGCTACAGTGACCGGCGGTTTCTCCGGGATTCCCGCGGCTGCTCGCTTGGCTCGGGCGAGCGCGTCCAAACCTGGGGATTGCCGACGGAGGTAGGTGGGGGAAGAGGGGGGGGCGGGGGAGGTGGGTGTTAGAAAGCAGAAGGCAGAAGAGGAGCTAAGAACAAATAACGGCGCCACATTCTGCTAAATACAATCCTACCACTGTACACTGACTAGCCGAAATAAATAAACGAGACCATGCCACTGTACACAATTGTAACAAGAAGCACCAGACCTACCACGGGCCTTACCAAGACAACTCATGCAAAGCAACCCTGGGACCCATTGCAGACCTATGAATCCGCGACACAGCTTAGACTAAAAAGTGTCATAAACGGCGCGCCGCCTCACCCAAAACAGATTTTCGCTCGGCCGGGGCTTTAAAGAGCAATCGCTCTCCTCCCAGCCCGGCTGCCGGCTGCAACCCTCCTCTCTGCAGCCCCCCTTTCTGTAGGCCTCCCCCCCCACCGTCATCTCCTTCACCGAGATTCGATCCTTTGAGCGTCTCTTCTGACCCTTCCAGTCGAGAAACCTGCCCGGAAAATCCGGAGAGCATGGTGGAATCCGCAGGATTGTAAGAAGCTTTCGGTAGGGCTAACTTGATCGGGATGTCAGACAAAACTATTCGCGTCCAATTAGGTGTCAATGAAGCGAACGTCTGTATGGTGTTAAAATTGAAGTGATGAAACACGTCAAAGCAAGAAAGCTGACTAGGAAACGGAAAGAGAATAGCGAGAACCTACAGACAGTCGGATCGGAGGAACTCGACGAATTATCGCTCGGTCGTGCGGACATCCCAAAAAAAGGGCACAGTCTAAGAGTCGAACTGATACATTTGTAGCAAGATTTCAGATTCTGGAAGTTAGTACACCACAAGCCACCACAAAAGTGCTGGTAAACATAGTTCATAAATCAGGAATGCTCCGTTTTGTGAGATGCCCCAATTCTTAGATTACTGCCTTTCAGTCTTTTTTCTATCGATTTGTTTATGATAACTAAGGGTACAAATCTATAGTATCAGTAGGAACTCTCATTCGTATACAAAACACTTATGTATATTGATCGTTGTGTTTGAGAATTTGCTGTCGCTTACCATGGTCAACCCTCCCTGACTGTAAGGGAGGAGATTAGTCCTGTCACTCTGCGCCTCGTCAGAACCCTTCGCAAGGTACTAAAATATCGTCAAGGTATGAGAGTAGAATTCTCCGAGTGACGCGTCATTGCATCGTCAATCTTGCCTCGTGCAGCCCGTCCCCCATGGAAGACGACGGATTGCACGACGAATGCTCACCCCTCATCCGCTCTCCCGTATCCTCTCGGCAATCCCCAGACCATGTCCGTCGCTCTTCGCGAGACTGTTGCGACCTTGCACGTACCCCGATCGTCGAAGCGTTACTCGAACCTTGGGATCGACGATCAGAGCCCACCGCCGTCAGTAACGACTGTACCACGGGATCGACGATTGCCTGCCACGTGGCACAGCCGTTCACAGAACGCAACGCCTGTCCTGGTCACGTAACGGCAGTCGTTCTCGACGACGTGGACTCTCAGGAAGCTTCCACGAAGGGGGAGCAGTCGTGGGGATGGTCATGGTCATGGTTACCAGTGTATGTGGGTCATGGTCATGGGGATTCCGTCACAGCCATAGGACGAACTGCGGCGTCAAGTACAGGGGGTACTACTGGGACTGATACAGGGACTACTACAGGGACTACCACTACCGAGTATACGATAACTACTACGACAGGGAGCATTGCAGGGTCTGGAGGGCTGTGCGCGTGGGACGAGTGGCGGTGGGTGTATTCGCGGGACGGGCTCAAAGCCCTGGCCCTCGGCCAGCTCATGTCGCTGCTGCTCACCGTCACTGCCACGTGTTCCGCCCTGCTGGCCGCTCGAGGTGCGCTGGCATGATGACACATGGACGTTTGCGATTTGTGCATGCAGTTGATGCGTCAGCTTGTCCTGGCTCATGGCGTTTTAGGTCCTGATTGGTGGCTTGGATGGTTGCCACGTGGCAGGAGTGAGCATCCCAACGACCCAATCGCTGCTCAACTACGTGCTGCTTGCTGCCGTGTATGGCGCCGTGCTGCTGCACCGCAAGGCACCCCTCACTGTAAGGCCTTTCTCAATCATTCAAACGGCAACCCGCGCTGTAAGGCTTTCGTTTAATAATTCAAACGACAACTCGCTGTGTTTAAAGGTCTTGCTATACGCACTCTCGACTCACTACTACCGCTCTTCTCTTTAGATGTCCTCCTCACTATAGACTCACTCGACACTCCTGGGCTACCTTCGTGATTGACTTCTAAGGCGCCTCGGGAAACCCTTTTCTGAGTACAACCTTTTTTATAATCCTCCTGATTGCCTCTCAACTGTTTTCACAAAATACATTCTGACCGTCTAGTCTACCAACAAGTCAACTGCTCTCTCAAAGCGCCTCCAGGCACCATGAATCTGTGTGCCCTCCTCCCCGCACTCACTCACCATCCATCCATGCACCCATTCAGGTTCCGTGGCGTGTGCTCCTGCTCGCATCCTTTCTTGACGTTGAAGGGAACTACTTTGGTCAGTGCGTGCCTTGTGCTGATCCCATTGGCCTCTCGATCCCTCTCATCTCATCTCCCTCTCATCCTTCCTTCCTTCTCATTGCACTTGCGACGTCTCGGCTTTTCCTTTCCTTTCGCTCCAGTCCTGCTCGCCTTCCGTTTCACTTCATTGACCCGCGCCACTCTCCTGGGCTGCTGGGCCATCTCTCTCTCATCGACCCTTGCTGCCATTCGTCTCATCTCTTTCCTTCCATCCCCACTCTATCCCTGCCCCATCCAGTCGTGCTCGCCTTCCGCTTCACCTCATTGACGCGAGTCACTCTGCTCGACTGCTGGGCCATCCCAGCAGCCATGCTGCTGGCGGCGCTCTGCCTCTCCACGCGCTACCACGCCTCCCATGTCACCGGCGCGCTGCTGTGCACTGCTGGCCTTGCCATGCTGCTTCTCTCCGATGCAGGTGAGAGCTAAAATGTTTTTCTTCCTATCCTAGAACCCCGTCTGCTTCTCCACGCGCTACCACCCCCCCCAAGTCATCGGCGCTCGGCTCTGCACTGCTGGACTCGCCATGCAGCTGCTCTCTGATGCAGGTGAGAAACTGAGGGGGTTATTCCGGCAGCAGAAGGTGAGGGGGTGTGCACCTACCCTAGCATCCTTCTGCCTCTCCACTTCACATGCTACCATGCCTGCCGTGCCATCCGCGCTCTGCCACCATTGCTGGCATCGGCCTCGCCATGCTGTTGCTCTCTGATGCATGTGAGAACTGAGAGGTTCTGTTGGCAGTGGGTGCTGAACAGCTGTTTTTTAGGTTTCTCAAACAGCGGGTTCTCAACAACTCTCTTCAGCGCAGGTGAGGGCTGACTGGGAGTAGGGAAAGGGGGGGGGGAGAGAGTAGTGAAGGGGGGGGCAGGGGAAGGGGGGAGGGGGGGGGTGTTCACAACAGCAACCCGTTGCACCTTTGCACCCATGCTCCCAGCACCCATCCCTCCTGTAGCAACGCTCCCACCAGCAAAGTTCCCAGGCAGCTATCCTCCCTCCGTCATTCTCCCACGTTCTCCTCCCCTCTTCTCCCGTCTGCCCTTCCTCACCCTCAGGTCCCTCCAAGCACGGAGGCAGCACAGCCACTGGCAGCAGCAGCAACGCGACTCTGGGCAATGTGCTTGTGCTTCTCGGTGCTACTCTATATGCTGCTTCCAATGTGACTGTGGTGAGTCCTGAGGCGTCTCAGAAGTCATTGCATGCTCCGTTTCAATGTGCCTTAGACTCTATGGTGACTTTTGAGGTGCCTCTAGAGCCGCTTTACACTCCGTTTCCAATGCATGCAATGAGTGCGTGGTAAGTGTGAGGTGAGTGTGAGGTGAGTGTGTGGTGAGTGTGTGGTGAGTGTGCAGTGAGTGTGTGGTGAGTGTGTGGTGAGTGTGCGGTGAGTGTGTGGTGAGTGTGTGGTGAGTGTGTGGTGAGTGTGTGGTGAGTGTATGGAGAGTGTGTGGTAATTGTGTGGTGAAAACCTCTCTATCTCCTTTCTCTTATCCCTCACCTCTCTCAGGAGTACCTGGCTCATCGAGTCGAGACAACAGAGCTGCTGGCCTTCATTGGTTGCGCTGGATCCCTCATTAGCTTCACACAGCTGTAAGCGCCCGTCCTCATCCCTCATTGTCATCAAAGTGCACCCTTCCCATGCCTCATTAGCTTCACTTCACACAGCTGTAAGCGCACTGTTTCCGTACGTCACTGGTATCACACGCCTCAGAGAGCATCGTCGCTATCCAGCCCTTGTATCGCACATGGATACATCAGTCTGTGTGTGCATTGCGTGCACACACATGTGCCTCACATTCCATGGCACGTCTGTCCAATGCATTTCATTGCATTGTGTGCACACACACAGTTGTCAGTTCCCTTACATGAGTGTACTCTAGATTGGTTCTGAGACGCCTCAAGGCTGCCAGATCTTTTCTTGGGTGTCTCAAAACTGATATATGCGCTCTCCACCTGCCCATCGTGCTCCAGTCTCCCCCTCACACCCATCTCCCTCTCACACCCATCTCCCCTCACGCCCATCTCCCCCTCACACCCCTCTGCCCAATGCAGTCTTTTCCTAGAAGGAGCAGACCTGCACTCCCTGCGCTTCGATGCCCACACTGTATGCCATTTACCATTTACTTGGATACCACTTCCTCTCACCATTTACTTTCTGTCACTACTTTCCCTCACTACCTACCCTCGATGACTACATGTTCTAGAACTGCATACTCTTTGTATCCCTCTTCTCATCTGATATCAAGGCTACCCTATTTCCTAGCTCCCCAGCCTGCTGCTAGTGTCCCACGTAAAATATGAGGGCAAATTTCTGCTTGGCTGTTACGGATAGCTTCTGGTTGTTTTACATCCACATGTGCACATTGATTCTCTGTGTACAGATGTCGCATATCTATGTTTCCTCCTAAGCCACCCTTCGCTCTCTCCTCTGTACATCCCTCCGCCCCTCACTCAAACCACAGGTCCTCCCCATGGTGCTCTTCTCGATCGCCCTCTTCGCCTTCTACTCCTCACTCCCCTCATGCTCCGTGTAAGCTCCCCACACACAACTGCTCGATGTGCATTTGAATGTTGTTTTTCTTTCTTTCTTTCTTTCTTTCTTTTTTTGACAGAGACGCAATTGTCCACCACCCAGCTTACCATGTGTGTGCTTAAGCTGAACACCACTTCACATCACCGTGCACTATCTTCTCATGCTTGACTCATTCCCTGCTTTCACTTCACCCCTCGTCCTGCCCCTTGCCCCTCCCCCTTCCCCATCTAACCAGCTGGGTGGTGCCGCTCTCTTCAACCTCTCCCTCCTCACATCAGACCTCTGGGCGGAGTGGCGGCTCTTGTCTTTAACCAGCCTGTGAGTCCGCGCTTTCGAGTCTTAAAGACTTCAACTCCGAGTTTTAACTCTGTCAGAGGCCTTTGAGTAACAAGTCTGTCTACAAGCGAGTTTGTTTCTGTTGACAAGCGCTCAATTGAATGCTGTGCAAGCACACTGACCATGCAGATAAATTCTGTTGTTTTGCAGGTTGAGAGCATTTATTTCACTTCTCTTGCGGTGGTTTCTGTGGGCCTAGTAATTTTCAGCTTGAGGTGATGTACACATGAGTAAGCTGTATGTTTTTAGTACATTCAATTGAAGTTCGAGTTATATTGTCCATGTTCCTTATCAGCATGGGTTCCTGGTACTAACGCGATTGGCGGGAAACGCTTACTGTGTCGGTTGGCCGGGCATTCTGGGCAGACAGTAATCTACGATTATGTTTTGAGGTAGCTTGGACGCTTCGGTCCCCTTTGGAGAATGCTCCAAGGACTGAGGGGTACTTGTGGATTGTAACCTGTCTGTAACGCCGTTAAGCTGTTATCGCTTAGTGTGGAACTTGATCTTGAGCTTTCATATGTGTCTTGGTGACAACTCACAGCTAGACCTTTAGAATAGTGCACGGGAATCAGAAAACGAATGGCGGAGAGCTGAGGGGGAGGGCGAAGGGTGACGTGGTTATGCCACCTTCATAATACGTGGTTACGGATCGGATATCCTCTTTTGTTCAGCCCATTTCAGGGAATACGCCCAGCACAAGCTGATTCCAGTCTCCTGTCTCGATTTCTGACAGGCGGCTCCAGACACCACACCTGCGCTTCGATGTCAGCGAGGCAATTTCGTAATTTAGGTTTCGTTTTGGCACTCCGACGACAGTGATGCTTTACCACCCTTCCCTCCTCGTTCTGTCCTTCCCACTCTGTGTGAGTGGGGAAGGCGACATCAGAACAGGAAGCTACTAGACGCACTGTACATTCCACAACACTCCAGCCCACGCTTACCGAGTGAGCAGGCTTATCATTCCGCAGCCGCCTTCTCAGCTCGAAGACGCAGAAACTCCGAGTGTACATAGCTTGTGAAGCGAACTTCGCAGATTGACATCGAACGTCTCGGGAGCAGTTCTGTTTAGTGGTTGATACGATTCGCAAGAAGCATTCTAAACAAGGCCCTGCCTCCCATCGTCAGCAACTGCATACGAGTTAATAGTCGCCTTGCGTTCGATCTCAAATCGGGAAACACTCTGGGAGTCACTTTTGAGAACCCTCAGATCGGCAACACTGTGTCGGCCGGTCAGAAGATCCATGGCGAGCAACGCGGGCCTGATTGTTCGCTCCCTCGCCCTTAACATTCTTCTCGCATGCATTGCCCTCTCAGGTGCGGTCCCCACAACTGACTTCAGGTGACCCCAGAGGCTACCCAGGGGTAACCACTTGTTGCATGGGTAATTATCCTCCAGAGAGTTTAGGGCCTCGGAGGTGGTTCAAGAGCCATTGAACTGCCCTCCTTTCCCGCATGCGGCCGTGTTTTGAGTCGACTCAAAACACGACCCATTGAACTGCCCTCCTTTCCCGCATACGGTCCTGGGGTGCGTCAGAAAGTACAATCGGCGCGCAGCAGTGTTCAGTGCCTCATATCTCCGTTTCGAGCATCCAGGGCCTTATGTGTCGACTCAAAGGGGAGCATTCAACTGTCTCGGTTCCTTTTTCCATCGTGCAAGCACCCCGAGAGTGGCCGCATGGCCGGCGTTCAATCGGCGCGCAGCGTTCCACATCTCGTCGAATTCCTAACAGCCAAATCCCTCATTTCCTTGTCCCATCGGCGCGCAGCCACCCTGGGAGTGACGGCGCAGCCCTCGCTCCGGTGGCGCAAGGCGCTGAACGTGTCGACCGTGTTCAACGCCGCCAAGTTCGGAGCGGGCACGCAGAGCACGCGCAGCGGCTTCATCGGCCTGCCTTACAGTATGCTCCGCACCCTTTTCGACCCTCTCCCCCCTCTCGGCCCTGTCGTTCCCTCTCGCCCCTGCAGGCCCCTCTAGCTCCCCTCGCCCCCTGTCACCCCTGTCGACTCTGCCGTCCTGGTCGCCGCTGTCGCAGTCCTGGTTGCAAGCACGTGAGGCCTCCCATTTTGCATATTCCCGCATCCATTCTTCTACGCTCCGCCCTGCCCGCCACCGGTAGCCGTGTCACGATTTACAGCGACTGTTTCACGCCACCAACCATCCCCGTCGCTTGCGCCGAAGGCGGGCTGAGGTGAAGGCGGGTTAACGCGTCGACTTGACTCCCTTTTCCCCTTCCCCGGCTTTTCTTCCTTCCAGGGGAGGTATTCGCGAAGCTCACAGGCAAGGCCGTTCCGGCCTCCAAAGGGGACAAGGGAGCACACGGATGGCTCGATATCAACATCTACAAGTGAGTGCGCTTGTACAGGGTACGAAAGATAACCTGCATGTTTGGGTGGGGCAACGGTTGTCGCTTGTGGTGCATGCATCCTGGAACCTTCCTGGTTTCTCATACCATCCATGCCAGCTCTGATGTTCCTTACCCCTCTCTCCCTCCCTCTCCCCACGCTACAATGCCAGCTCTGATGTTCCTTACGTCGGTCTCCAGCCTATCCTTGCTCTAGCCTTTTTCATGGCCTTATGCATATCCCATTTATGTTCTCTACATTATTTATCTGATCGGTCTGCTACTCGTTTCCGTTTTCCTGCTCACTTGGAATTCCCACCAGATGGAACCATGAATACAACGTTCGCTTCTTCACGTCCACCTTGGGACTGTCGCGCAACGAGGTACCGCTATCAGTCAGCATCCACCGCGGAAACCCTAAACGCGACAGCACTGGCGACACCAACATGGTTCTCTCTTTTGACTCGCTACAAGCAACCTCGAGTGCAAATACAGGGTACACCACTACAGCACCGTCGACCCTTTCATTTCCGTGGTTGGCTGTTGACCCGACGCCCATGCAGCGGTTACGCGGTTACAAGGGGTACGGGTTTATGCAAGAGGGTACAGTGCGGAAGGCGCGGGGTGTACAAGTAGACTCGACAGGCAAGTCGCTGCGCAGGTTACTGGATGAGCTTATAAAGAGGCCAGGGAGGTTCTATGTGGTGGTGAAAACGCCATTGTTTCCCGATGGGGCTGCGCTCGGGCGCATGCAAGGCTCGCTGGTTACAAAGGTACTGCACTGAGTGTGTAGGTGTGACTGACTGGTTACTACTTGTTGGTTGGGGGGGGGTCTTGGCGCTGGACCTGCCCCTGTTGTCAGCTGGGCACATTACATATCTGTCATGGTACCGGTATGTCAGCAGCAAGACACTGCCACTTGTCAACAGCTTTCAATTACCAGTAATAAGAACATTATCCTGTACAGGTATGTCACATATGTACCATCAATGACAGGTCCCAAGACTACAGACAACAATTTGAAGTGGTAGGTACATCTTTTGTGGCTAATCAGCTTTGTTCAAGCAATCTCTCTGCACCCGATCTAACCAATTTTTGGCCTTCCAAAAATGACACTTCAATGTATTGCAGAGTTACCATCATGCAAGAATGCCTCTCAAGTTCTCAACACACCGGCCATAAAAAAGTAGTGGTAATACAAGTGATTGTTGTACCCCTTATAGCTAACACAATGCCACAAAGCATACTTACGATATTGAACAAGCGATGGCAAGCATCAGCAAATTACACTAAATGCCATAGTGCTGGCTTGTTTTCATGACCCTTGTAGACTGTAGTAGTCATGCTCCACCAAGTTCTCCAGTACATATTTGAACTACCCAATCAGATATGTATCAAAACACACTTGGCCTTTCACACTATTTACCAGTGCCATTTCTGATGTGGCAAACCAACTCGTATCATGGTGGTTGCGGGGGCGCCTCAAATGCTCATGCGCGGTGGTTAGGGGGTGTAACTTTGCTCCGACCAAACGAAATGGTCAACCATATGGGCGGTTCTGACGATTGCGAAGTCTGTAGGGTTACGCAAACAGTTTGTAGTCACCCTGACTTGACAGAAATCGGATGGTATTCTTTCGTATAAACTTGCCCACCAAGCTAGTTGGGACCTCTACTTAGCAGGAGATCAATGTTCGACATTCGGTTTTCACCCCCGAATGTGTTCTCGTACCACCGTTATTTTGCTGAACAATCTAATCTACCCGCGCCTACTATTTTCCACACCAAGTTCGATGCAGGAACTGGGATCAAACCTTTTCCGACCAATTTCGAGGGTGGTTTAGGGTGGTTGTTCTGCGTCCTGGCGAACAGAATGGTCGTTGTGCTCGAAATGTTTGGCGGGGCTCGCCGAATCGTTACACGTTTCGCTTTCGCCAGATCCGGCCATTTGGTCGGATTTTGGACTTGGTCGAAGCAAAGTTACACGCCCTTATGGCGCAGAAAGCGCAGCGCAGCAAAGGCAGGAAGAGCAGGCAAGGCAGGTGGTTTTGAGGCAAATTAAAGCTCATACACGGTGGTTGTGGCGGAGGTAGCGCAGCGCAGCAAAGGCAGTAACTCGGCAGAAGATGCAGAAGCAGAGGAGGAAGAGCCAGTCCCAGTGCACAGCACTGCGCGCCGACTTGGTGGCGACGAGGAAGTCCCAGAGGTACTGGGGGCCGCTGATGGGGTTGAGGTACCACTCGCACGGGCAGCTGTCGCAGGCCGCACTGGTGCCGGGGCAGCCCGGAATAGTGCACTCCGGTGCAGAGGTGTCGCAGTAGTAGGCTGTTGCTGTGAGGCCGTTCAGGGCGTACTGTGTGGGGGAAGGGGGATGGGAGGGGTGGCGGCAGAACGGAGGAAAAGGGATTGGGGCAGAGGGGAGGAGAGGGATGGGGGCCGAGGGAGAGAGGGGGATGGAGAAAGGGAGGTGAGTTGGAGAGGCACTGCGCGCCGACTTGGTGGCAAGAAGGAAGTTCCAGAGATACTCCGGGCCGCTGATGGGGTTGAGGTACCACTTGCACGGGCAGCTGTCGCACGCCGCACTGGTGAAGGATGGGTGATGGGAGGAGTGCAGTGAAGAAGAAGAGAGAGAAGGGGGGATAAGAAGTGCAGTCTGTGAACCAACATAGTAGTGCAACGAACCTGACTGAATGGCAGTCTGTGAACCAATAAGTAGTGCAACGAACCTGAATGGCAGTCTGTGAACCAACAAGTAGTGCAACGAACCTGAATGGCAGTCTGTGAACCAACAAAGTAGTGCAACGAACCTGAATGGCAGTCTGTGAACCAACAAGTAGTGCAACGAACCTGAATGG